CAGCCTTGGCCTCCCAAAGTGCTGGGATTATAGGCGTGAGCCACCGTGCCCAGCCTTGAGATTTAATTCATGGCAAATGAATGAATGGTGACCATGGCTCCATCCATCCACTCCTAAACCTTTATGGAGGGACTACTATGTGCTAGTCATCGAGTTAGGGAAGATGACAAAATGCGTAAGGCAGACCCAACCCTTGGCCCCTGAGGTTTACATTCTAAGGCACAGACACAGTAAAACGTGAGTACAAGCGCACATGAGTAATTCTACATTGCAGCAGATGCTATTTCAGCAGCACAAATGGGATGCAGAGGGAGAATGATCTGGGGGCATCCAATTAGATAAGGAAGTGCAGGAAGGCTTCTCAGAGAAGGTGATGTGATGTGGGTCGTGGATGTGGAGAGGCAGCCAGTGGGGGCAAAGGGAACAGCCACTGCAAAGGCCTAGAGATGGAAAAGAAACTCACGGGAGGCGGGTGTCCTAAGGGAGTGGGAGGGTCGGCCCTCTCTTGTTTGTATGCTCAGGGAGACCTCAAAACTGGCCCTGAGGGCTGTGGCCAAGAGGAGGCAGCCCTGGTCTTTCCAGGGACACCAGGCTGGGTTCTGGCTGACAGTGGCCTGTTTTTAGCCATGGAACTGCTTCTTTCTGCCCCACCGGTTGCCTCCCTGAGTCACCACCTAATACCAGAAGGGTGGGAACAAGAGATTAGGCATCTCCGGACCTGTGGGGATGTGAGTTTTGCCCTGTGTGAAGGGAGGGATGGAGAGGACTACACTGAGGTCATGAGGTCCTCCAATGGAGTTGTTTTATTAATAAATTCTAATTTCATTCCTGTTGACTGAATTGTGCAGGTAGTGTGCAGGACAAGGCTTCCCACATACCAGTCCTGGGGACTGGAATCATTGCCCCCATTTTACAGATGAGGAAACTGAGACTCAGAGAGGTGAATCCACTTGCTCAAGGTCACATAGCAAGGAAGTGAAGATGCCAGGAACTGAGTCAAAAGCCTTGTCTATGTAACAGTCCTTCCTCCCCCTAAATCCTGTCCTCCTGCCTCCACAGCAGCTAGACACTCCTCTGGGGCGTAAATCAGGTCAAGGGAGACATATCCAGGACCCTTATACCTATTACATTGTAATAAATAGGTATTACAATAAATACCTATTTATTGTACTTAACAAACACTTATTTTATTTTATTTTATTTTATTTTATTTTATTTTATTTTATTTTATTTTATTTTTTTGAGATGGAGTCTCGCTCTGTCCCCCAGGCTGGAGAGCAGTGGCGCGATCTCAACTCACTGCAAGCTCCGCCTCCTGGGTTCAAGTGATCTTCCTGCCTCAGCCTCTTGAGTAGCTGAGACTACAGGCATGTGCCACCACACCTGGCTAATTTTTGTATTTTTTGTAGAGACAGGGTTTCACCCTGTTGGCTAGGCTGGTCTTAAACTCCTGACCTCAAGTGATCCTCCCGCCTTGGCCTCTCAAAGTGCTGGGATTACAGGCGTGAGCCACCGTGCCCGGCCAACAAATACTGATATTGTAGCTGCCATGTGCCAGACCCCGTTCTAAGCACTTTGCCAATATTAACTCATGTAATCCCCACAATAACATCATGGGGGTAGGTACTGTTAGGGTCCACATTTTACAGATGGGGGAAACCCAGAAAGGGGAAGCAACTTGCCCAAGGTCACACAGTTAGGATGTGGTGCCTGGTCCATGGGTGAATGGGAGTCTGGGTGTGGAAGGGATGTTTTGGCTGAGGTCTAGATTCCTGGATTGCATACTCTCCCAGCAGGCGGCATGCCAGGCTGGCCGACACAACCTCCTGGCTTTTTCTCATCACTGTGGCAGCTTTGCAGGGCCCTGCCCTCCAAGGAAGAGGGTCTCCTTCCCCTTAGCCAAGGCACTGTCTGGGGTGTGGGCAGGAGTGTCTAACTCTCGGCCATGGAATGCCATAAACCAGGGAAGGAAGGGGGCGGGCGGAGAGCAGGCTGGAGATAAGGCATTGGGAAGGAGGGCCCCGCTGAGAAGGCCAGCCCTGTGGGTGGGTAAGGGTGGCCTCCCCCGGGGCCAGGAGTTCTCTCCTCCCTCGGGAGAACAAAGGCCGAGGCCCAGCAGGTGAAGCTTCCTAATGGTCTTTCAGAGCTGCCACGCTTCTGTGGGAAGGGGCCGGCCACCTGGAAAGGCAGTGGGCTCCCCGTTCTTGGAACCCCATGTGATGTCGACCACTTTAATGTAGAGAGGATTCAGAAATCGGGCAGAGGTGCCCTTCAGGTTCTGATATTCCAGGAATCTGAGTTGCTATGATTAAAAACTCTGGAAGATTCTGAAATACTCATTTCAGATTCTGATTCTCCCATTTTAGGATTTGATTCGTCTAACTCTGTGAGGGTCTCAGTATCCTTTTTTGCTCTCACCTGCTAAAGAGGAGGCATGGGGACTGGGATTCCCTCCTGGAGACAGACACGCTTCCTATGAGGAGGGTCCTGGACGCGGAGTCCAGCGAGATGGCCCCATCCCTCCCCTCCAGAGCTACATTAAGGCATCAGAGGGGGTGCCATGGATGGGTCGAGCAGCGGCTTTGCTCCTGCCTTGCTGTGTGACCCTGGTCATGTGACCTATCTTCTCTGGCCTTGGTCTCTCCATCTGTGCCAAGGAGCTCTCTCTGGGTCGAGAGAGGCATTCACTGTCCCCCGCAACCCCTGTCCAGACGAGGGTGGTCAGCTGGGAGCCAGAGGTGAATGTTGGTCATGGAAAGAATGTGAAGGCAGGAGGCCCCATGGGTGGGGTCCCGGGTTGGGCAGCTAGCCAAGGGTGCATGAGATCATGGTGTCTCCTTGCCCAGCACCTCCAGAGAAGGGACCTCCTCCAGGCCATCCCCCAGGTCAGATCCGTTCCTGGGACTCAGACCCTGAGTCAGGCTGCCCTTCCCCACAACCACTGGGCAAAGGGAGTGAAACGCAGAGAGTTGGGCACTGGTCCAGGTTTTATAGTGAGTCCAAGGCATGCACTGAGTCCAAGGTCCTGCTTGGGGAGTTGGGGCTGAGGGGGCCTGTCTTCACTTCACGACTGTGTTGGAGGCCAGAGAGAGATGTGCAGAGGAGGCTCTGAGCCTGCATATGGGCAACCCTTTCGCACGTTCCCCCAGAGCAAGGGATGAGCAGGAGACTCAGACTCATTCTCCACAAGTCCCCATCCTAGTGCAGAGCTAAACCTCCGTGGTTCAGGGGGATGCTGGGGAGTGCGGCGGCAGAGGCCTGGGCTCCCCCAGCCCAGCCGGCCTCCCTTCCTCCTAGTAGCTCAGAACCCAGGCTGGGAAGGGACTGGGGTCACCAGGGCTCCACAGGAATGCACAACGGGAACAGTGCCCAGCAGAGGCCTCTTTTCCTGACCCAACTGAGAAAGAACTCTCATCCCTTTGAATCTTGTCTGTCTCTGCCTCTGCAGGGTCTGTCTCTCTGCATCTCTCTCTTTCTCTGTCATATACACACACGCAGCCTGAGACATGCTGATCCACACAGGCACACACCGTGGTAGAGGTTCACACAAGAGTCTGCTTCCCCCTCCTTACCGTGCCCTGCACACAGAGGGCCTTTCCTCTCTGCCCCATGAGGCTGCCCATAGGAGGCTGCACAGACCCTTGCTCCTTCTCCCCATTGTTAGCTGGGTTCCGGGCTGGGGTTCAGCAGGCATGGTGGGGAGGGGCCCCACAGCTGGCCAGGCATTTTCCCAGCCCCTCTCACCCTGCAGGTCCCCCTCCACCCCAGCTCTGAGACTGTGGGAACCAGACAGTTTGGGCTGTCCAGCCGGGCTCGCTTCCTCCCAGGCCCCAGGGGACCTGTTGGGGGAGGAGGGAGCAGCAGAGGCTGGAGTCCTCAGGGCTGCCTGGGCAAGGGAGGGCCTCTGGAGGGGACAGGGCTGCCTGCCCAAGAAGGGGTCTCCAGCCCCCTGGGTGAAACCTCGTGGGACATAAGACCCTCTAGACCACATACCAAAAACCAGAATAGGGGTGCCCCAGCATCCCTCTCTCTTCTCCCTGTGCCCATGATCCAGATAGGAGGACCGAGGCTCTGGGCAGGAAGCCATTTGCCTCTGCTCCTCCAGTGCTGGGGTCTGTGAGGACAGTGATGTTTCAGGTTCCTATCTCTGTTCCTCTAATGAGGAATATCCCCATTTCTCCTGCTTCCTTGTGAAGGGGTAGTTAGAGAAGGTCAAAAGTCAGGGCTTAGTAGGATAGTCACAGACCATGCCGCTGGCCCCAAGAAATGCCGTCTTAAAGAGTCACCAGAGGACCTCAGGGAGCTAGGGGCTCAGGGGAGCTCCCCCATTAATGTGGGAAGTCCAAACAGGGGTAGGTGCTGCCTTTTGAACTCTGGGTGCCCTGTCTGCACAATGGGTAAAGGGTGCCTTTCTAGCCCTGGCCGTCCAGGATTTCAGCAAAGCCCTCCCACATCTGGGGGCCACCACCAGCTCTGCCCTGACCCTCTTCTCCACCCGTGTCCCCACTCAAGCTGCAAGCCACACAGGTATGGTTTTGATTTGCCCTCTGCCATCCATTTGCCATCTAGAGTTGGAGCTGGTGAGCCTGTTTCCACCACTGTAAACGGGGCCAACCTTCCATATCACACAGGTGAGATGATATATACAAGCCCGGGACAGGATCAGGGTCACAAATTGTCAGGGTTATGACGACTGTGCCTATGGAGGCTATTGAGTCCCAGTGTCTGAGACTGGAGAATCAGTCCCTCAAGCCAGCCCAGGCTTGCCCCTGCCCAGTCTCTCCCTGGCCTGTATCCTCCTCTCTCTGCCCCCCATTCCCTACCTCCCCTTCCTCTCCCTTTCTGGGAAACTCCCTGAGAAAGTCCCCAGCAGGAGAAAACCTCATGTGAGACATTCCCACCCAGGGTCTCCTGCCCCTGCTGCACAACCCCATAGCTATAGCCATCCCACATACAAGCGGGCGCCCTGGCCCTCAGCCCCCAGCCATCAGGCAAGCTGACCCTCATCATCACATGGCTTTATTGGCCCTGAGAGCCACAGAGTCAATCCCAAGAGGCCCCGCTTCCCCTCACCCCCAAGTTTGTCCAGAGGCCCCAGGGGCCAGGCTGAGCACCGTTTCCATCCTGGCTTTCTGTGTGGTTGTCCTTGGCTCACCAGGGCTGGGTCCTTCGAGAGTTCTCCAGGTCCTAGAGCCAGGCTCAGCCTGGAGGGTGAGGGACCTGCAGGGACTGCCCGAGACGAGGCTGCCTTTACTCAAAGAAGAACATTCCTGGGGTCCGGTATAGGCAGGGGGTCAGCCCCAACGGGTAGCTGGAGCCTCCCTGGACAGGGAAGCCACCTGCAACCCAGGGTTCCTTGTGGTCAGCTGGCAGGGGCAGCGGGGCCCGGAGTGAGGTTGGAGGGGTGGGTGGTGCAGGGGAGGGGGCTGCTGAAGCCAAGAGGTGCTCAAGGCCTGGGTCAGCCCCCATGCAAAAATTCAGTGCCTGCAGCCGACACTGGTAGCTGCTCCCGATGCTTGCTTCCGGGGACGAGACGGGTGTAGGGGCCTTATTAAAACCCCCAGCCTCCGAGAAGCCGGCAGGAAAGCCAAACGCTGGGCATGAGGAAGATGAGGTGGCCACGGGGAGCTCCCCCAGGCATGCAGGCTTGGGCGTGGAAATCTCTTTGGGCTCCGTGGGTGGCCGAGGCCTGCCATCAGTGGTTGCTGGGCACATACTGGCTGGCATGGCCCCCACCAGACCCCCAAAGCTTAGGCCCTTGGGGTCTGGCAGCTCTGGTGGGAAT